GGGTGTGTGCGTGAGCATGTGGGCACGTGTGCACGTGTCGCGTGTGTGGGTGTGTGAGCATGTGGGTACGTGTGCATGTGTTGCATGTGTGCGTGAGCATGTGGGCACGTGTGCATGTGTTGCATGTGTGTGCATGTGTGCGTGAGCATGTGCATGCACACACTTGTGCTCCAGGTCATGTGGGCATGTGTGCACGTGTCGCATGTGTGCGTGTGTGTGAGCGTGTGGGCGCGTGTGCATGTGTTGCATGTGTGCGAGCATGTGGGCATGTGTGCACGTGTCGCATGTGTGCGTATGTGTGAGCATGTGGGCATGTGTGCACGTGTCGCATGTGTGTGGATGCATGTGCATGTGTCACGTATGTGTATGTGAGCATGTGGGCACATGTACATGTGTTGCGTGTGTGCATGTGTCACATGCGTGTGAGCATGTGGGCATGTGTGCACGTGTCGCGTGTGTGGGTGTGTGAGCATGTGGGTACGTGTGCATGTGTTGCATGTGTGCGTGTGCATGTAGATGCACACACTTGTGCTCCAGGCGAGCGACACGAATGGAGAGTTGGGGGAGCATAATGCCTCCTCCAGGCAGCGCTTTCCACCTGCCTGACACTGGGGGGCCTGCGAGTAGCCACGATGATCCCCTCCCAACAGAGAAGCTGAGGGGCAACGACCTGTCCAAGGTCCCACAGCTGACACAGAGCGGGGCCAGCATGGGCACCCAAGCGGTCTGGCTCCACCCAGGACTTGAACCCATGAAGCCACACTTCCCAGTTGCTCCTCACCGCACCCCTCACCCTCACCAAGAGGCAGGGTCTGATCCCCCGCCTGGCGTGCGAATTTTCTGCAGGGTACTCGGGACGTGCGGTAGACCAGACAGCCCCATCCCCACCTCACTGGCCCCTGGGAGAAGCACAATGGATTCCAGTACCTTCCAGCTGAAAGTCTTCCTGTTCCTCCTCGCTGAGCGTTTCTCTGAAAACTTCGCCCACGAGCTCCTAGAGGAAGACAAACAGGGTTATTACAGAAGTACCGGGCTCGGGGAGGAATCTGGCACCCCACAGACATGTGCCTGGCTGCTCGCAACGGAGCAGGGCCCCTGTCCTGACTCTCCCGACAGGAATTTAGGTCAGCCGAGGTACATCCTGCCACAGTGGAATAGCTCATCTCCACACTGCTTTCCAGGAAGTAGGTTTTCTCAGTCTACAGCCCACTGTGACGCACCACACCGGACCACACTTCCACCTTCCATGCCCGAAAAAGACAAACGCAAGCTCAGGAAACAACTCTCCTCATGTGCCGTGCTGAGCCACCTCGATGGGGTCGGGCCCGGCGAGCCTCCCCTGTCACCCCAACAAGAGATCTCAATTTGGGTCCTTCCCCCGGCACAGGGTCCCAGGCGGGCCATCTCGGTGGGTTTTGTACCATGTCAGAGGTAGTTCAAATAAGGAATCTATATTTTTGAAGGCTGTTCACTTCTGTGTTCTTTTCACCCTTCCACCAATTTTCTATTAAAGGTTCCTTTTAAAGAAGCCTAAATTATTTCTGGTTAACTAAGGTAAAAGGCACGCTCCTTGCCTGTCCCCACACGTGACTCATAGATGTCTGGCCTCTCCTCCCATACGGCAGAGCTGGTCCCAGTTGGCCAGGGGAGTGTGGTTGGTCGGTTCATGGGCTGGGGTATTTCTGGGATGTCGACAAAGGTCTCATCCACCTGACCCCCCCCAGCAGGATGGCTCCAGGGAAGAGGCCAGACTAGCGCTTGTCATATCGTGTGCTGTGTTTCCTGGTATTCTGCCAGGAAGCATTCTGTGATCAAAAAGGATGGTTTTTTGGTTTTTGTTTTGTTTTTTTTATGCTTACATCAGACAAAATAAACTTTATTTATTTTTTTAATTGAAGAAAAGATTAAAAAAATTTTTTAGGGTCCCTTACTGCAGGCCTTGCTATGGGAACGGACGCTGCAGATACCCAAATAATGTAGCAGCTTACACTGCATTCCTCAGAGCTATTTAGCCCAGAGTTTTATCTCTCACAAGCATGCCATGGGGTTCGTGTTCCGAGGAACCCACTTTGGGAATCGCTCCTCACTGGGGGGGGGAGGTTTGAGGGTTACCACCTTCTCTCTCTCGATGCCCACAGTTACGCTATGGCCGTGCTTCTCAAACCACAAAATGACGAGTGATTAAAAAAAAAAAAAGCTGTCACTTCTCTTTACTGAAAAAAAGCGAAAAGGAGAAGAAAAAGCACCTTGAAAAATTATATTCAAAAAAACTCCTGTATCTCAGATGCTTAAAAGAAAAAACAGTGGTCATCTTGATTAGCAAAAAAAAAAAAAGTAATCTTTAAATTTAAAATATGCTTTGTACAGCCGACCTTGCCAACTGGACGCAGCTGGGGTAAGTGTCTGCTCTGCTGTTTTGTTTTTCAGAGAAACGGGTAGCGTCCAGCGGGCTGAGGGGGGTCCTCGCCGTGCTCTTTCTTCCTCTGCATTGCTCGGGGGCCTTGCGCCCTCCTCCGACAGGGCGTTAACAGGTGGTCACTCAGACACCTGGAGTCCCGCTGACTTCAAAACCGGGCTCCGCTCTCTCTCCAGTCGGGGTGGCTTCTCCCTCCTCCGCCGCCAGTCATCACGATCCCGGAACATTTCCTGGGCTTGTAAACTGGCAGTTTGTGTTAACAGAGCCGGAGCTGACAGGGGAGCTGCGGGACGGTGACAGCAAAGGAAAGCTCCCGGGTGGCATCGCGAGATGGCTGGGACGCCCCGGCAGCCAATTAAAGCCAGCCTTTCATGCCCGAGAAGACGGCTGCCGCCTCCGCCGAAAGCCTGGCGGGCAGCCTTTCCTCACAGGAGCAGGTGACAGTCTTCAAGAGAGCCACAGACCTCTGCGTTCCGAGGTCCTGGGGGCCCGGCGCTGACCTCGGCCGCCGCCCCGACCAGTGCCGGCAAGTCCGGCAGGATCCGCCACACAAAGGCTTCAGAGCACTCGTCTTCGTCTTTCCGCCGGCACACGTGGAGGAGTTTAAAGACCCCAGACGTCGCCACCGACAAAGCAGCCCTCTGGGACCCCGTAACGAAGCCTCAGCGCGGTAAACACGCCCACGGCCATCACTGGGATGCTGGCTTTAACGCTCTCTGAGAAGAGCTGTCAGCCGGGAGGACCGAGCTCTCTGACACATGAAAGGGGTGGCACCTGCTCGCTGATGCAGGGTCCTGGCACGTTCTGGGGTCAGCCTCTTCCCGCTACACCATGCCCTGCTCTGCGTAGCACTTCGAGCCCTCTGCAGCACCACGGCCTGCTGACACAGAGTGCGGGGCAGACGCCTGACTCCCGTGAAAACCCATTTCCTCCCCAGGGCCAGACGGGCCAGGGCCTGTGGTCCCCACGCCTTGACGTGCTAGGTCCCCTTGCCCTTGGACCCAGGGCCACCATGGCATTCTCAGACCCTCGGTCTGCCTGTCTGTAAAATGGGCACGCTGATAAACCCCCACAATGTGACGGCTGACGCGGTGCGCTGCTCACGTGCCAGGCACCGTGCTGGGCACTTCCTATGCATTAAGTCCCTTACTCGTCGCGATAGCTCTGCTCTTTCCACCTCTCGAGGAATGGATGCTTGTAAAAATGACCTGCCGATTGCAAAGTGAGACGTATAATTGTTACTAGATTTTTTCTTCAAAGGAGGGGATCCCCAACCCTCAAGGACCATATGAGACAGGAAAATAATGCTAATGACAGCCACTCACGTCGCCTACCACACGCTCACGGTGTCTGAGGCCCTGACCGACGGGCCTCACACAGGACCCTCTGGAGAAAGGGCTCCTACTAGCTCTGTCCCCAAACGAGGAGGGGGCTCCGAGAGGCCAGTGACAGGCTCCAGGTCACCAGCCAGTGAAGGGTGGGGCCCAGACTTGAGCCAGCATCTTTGATGCTCCACTTGAGCTTGTACGGTAGAATCGGGGCTCCTGCAGGCACAGGGACAGAGGTGGCCAAGGGTGGCACTTGCCAGGGACCAAAGGTCACACTTAAAGAAGTGCCAGAAAAGCAGCCAAGTGGGGCAGAGGCCAAGTATGCCCATCGGGTCTCCAAGGCCCCCACGGCCCTTACCCACTAGGTTTGGGCCTTGGCCGAGCCCTGGCTGGGAGCCCTGTCTGCAAGGTGCCTCGACCACCACGAGCCCCACCAGCAGCCTCGCTGCCCAGGGCGCAGGCGTGGAACTCGGGTGGGTCAGGCCGCGGTTCAGACCCCAGCTCTGCCTCACACGGGCTGAGCTCCCGGGTGAGGGAGCTTTATCTCCAAGGTACACACACACACACGCGCACACACACACACACACATGCACACACCTGATTCACAGTGACCTCACTGGACCGCTTCCTCCATCTACTCAGCCACCCCTCTGTCCCCGGTCCCAGGCCTCCTCTCCTCTGGCCTCCGGGACAGGCCGCCTCAGCCTCTGCTCCAAGTTCAATCAAAGGCTGCCTGGGTCCCCAGCCCTCCTGCCCGCCCCTCCCAAGCCTGGTGCCAGGCTGCGCCCCACCCTGTGGCTGAGCCTGGGGGCCCCACAGGCCACAGGTCCCGGACTTGCCCCTCCTGCGACCCAGCACAGCCCTTCCTCGCCCCGCACCGGGCCCCAGGAAGTGAGGCCAGCTCCTCCGGGCGCCGAGTGTGCAGCCAGCACCAGCCTGGAGCCCTGACTCGCAGGCACGATGCCTTATAAGGCCTCCGGGGACGGGAAACCACATCAAAGCAGGGCCTTGGGGAGCGGGCTGGGTTCGGTTGGGGTTTCTCCTCTTTGTCTCTGCGACTTAGTACCCCTGGGCTTCGTGTCCCCCGCCCGCCCCAGCCGTCCTCTGTCAATCTTCCTAAGAGCTAACAGATGTTGGTGCCACGGGTTTCCAAGGGAACTCCTGGTGCCCACAGCACACGGCCCACCTCACGGACTGCAGGAACGCCCAGGGCTGGGGCAGCCCGGGGAGGGGAGAGGCGGGAGGCAGGACCCGGCCGCCCGGCACCCCTTCTGTCCAAGCGTCCAAGCCGTCTGCCCTGGAGCTGCCCCGGGAAACTCCTGGCCAGCTCTCTCCCCCAGCACGCTGTGCAGGTGGCCGGACCAGCCTCGCTGAGAGCCAGCGCCCACGGTCGCGTGTGGGCACGCTCTACCCTGACCTGCCAGGCCTGGGAGTCAGGGCGCCCGCCCACCCGCTGGGCAGTGGGGGCCAGCAGACGCCTGACGTAACCCCTCCAGCCCCCTTTCATTTCGCCCTTCTGTAAAATGGGGATTTAGGTGATCAAGCGGAGTTAGCAAGGAGTAGGTGGGCGTCCGAGGCACAGGTGGGGAGCACTGGGTCTGAGCTCTGTCCCCCTCCTGTGGCACCGTGCTTCTCATGCACTCAGAACCCCCACTCCCCCAACACACATACACACTCATCCTCGCAAAAGCCGACTGCCCAGCGACTTCCGGCCTCAGCGTCCACCTGGGACCACACTCACACGTGTGCACAGGGAGGCACATCCGGGTTCAGTGCAGTTGACAGTCACTCAGAAATGTGCTGAATGCCCATCGGAGAAAACTGCCATGTCATGCAGGGGACACCACACAGGGGATGCCACACAGGGGTTCAGCGGAACCAGGCAGATCTGTAAACACCGCCACGCAGAGGCACACCACGTGGATGACAGGGGATGATGCTACGTGTAGGGCAAAGAGCACAGCAACTCGCACCTGCACTGTGAGATCACACGGTACCCACGGCCATCCCGGGGGAGCGGGGTGGGGAATAGAGGTGGATGGGAAATGGGCGTCGGAAACTTCAGCCTTATGGGAACTGCTTTTAAGACGAGGACATTCATGTGACGCTTGGGTCACATGAGAAAGCCTAGTTTAACAAAAGCCCGCACAATAACCCACTGAACGAGGACATGAGGCTTGAGAAGAAAAAGCACACGGCTGGGTTAGAACCTTCCGCCCTGGCTCCTCGTCCCAGAACGGGGCGGGCAGG